AATAGAGATAATTGAGGAGAGGAAATTATCAACCAATAAATAAGAAAACCTCAGAACTGCAAGACACAAGTATCTGGATTCCCCAGAACAACAAATAAAAAAAGGCCAAGACTTAGAAACAGCACGAAATAAAAGGGAAATCCTAGACACTTCCAGAAAGAAAAGTTACATGAAAAGAATGGAAATAACAATTGTTTGAGATTTTTCAGTAGCAATTTCCCATGTTGATAGAAATCCCATGTCGATAGAAAATGTCCTTTAGCAAACTTGGGAGACAAAAATGTGACTTAGAAATAAAAGTGAGTTAAAATGGGATTAAAAATGAAATTTAGGAAATTGTAGCTCAAATTATCCAGGAATATGGGAATACCAGGACTCCAGCTGTACTCCAGGTTAAAGACCTGCTAGTCCAGACTGGGCATAACTGATTTTGGTAGTAATTGAGCGTTTGGAAAATTTGCTAAGAAATCTTCAGAGTCAACTGGAATAAAAAAAATAACAATAAAATAGAAAACAAAGACAATGAATAACACTAAAATGGTCGTTATTAACTTTCTTATGAAAAAAGGAAACATCATATTTCACTCCATTGCTCATCAATGATCAATTTTGACACAAGTTCAGTAATGTAAACCCAGACTTTTCATCTAATCAAAACTTGTGATAAAACTGTATTGAGTGAATGGAGACCAGGAGGGTAAGTAGATATGAGTGAGTTGAAAATATAACTCTTCAATTTACATAATATAAAGTCAAAATATCTAAAAGTGATAAATCGACAAATAGCAATATAATAACATTATATAAGACAATGAAATAAGTATCAGAAGAACTAGCTAAAAGAATTAAATAATTGAATCTGGAGGTCAGGAACCAGGAGTGAATAGAGATGGAGAACAAAACCTACTGCTTTGTGTTGCATATCATTTAGTAACATTTGATTTTTAAAATGATGTGCATATATTTACTTGGTTAAAAAAAAAAAACAGAATTAACTTCCTACTCCCACCTTCTCCAAATACATATAAGTTATAGTTGGGAATGTGGTTATAAACTCACATATTAAAAAGTGGTTCAAACTGAGTTCCTGGCTGTGGGTAATAAAGTGAAATCCATGGAATAAAAATAGTGACAGTACACTGTTTGTAGCATGGATCTCTAAATGTGATAATCTTCAAGTCTGATCAAAGATAGCATCTTGAAGTCAATAACTTCAGTGAAACTTGCTTTTAGAAAGTAAATTTTACAGAGAGCAAAAAAAAATATTTAAAAGATTTTTAAAAAATATTTAAATTCTCTTTCAGTCAATTTTGTGAATACTTTACTAAATATCTTCCAGATTTTCATATGACAATTTCAAATGAGGGTTTCCAATTAAAAAATGTGATTTACACATATCGATAAAAGATATATGTATGTGTTTTATCTCATCAATGTGTCATGATATGGCAAAACACCAGTTGTGTTTTCCTGATAAAATCATCATCATAATGAGTGAGCTGTCACACAATGTATTACTCTGGCGAATTACAGACACCAGGCCTCTCTAGAAATGCCGGGAGTTTAAATACGAAGAAATTTCATGGAAAAGAATAATTAAAGAAGAAAGCATTTTTAATTTGTCTATGAAGAAAACCATGAAGATATTAGACTATGAGAGACAAAGGATGGTTTTAACGAAAAAGAAGTAAAATTTTAACCAGTTTCTGTGAAGACTGGTTCATAACTGTTCTACCAGATCCTGTTACAATATTGTTAACAATAGTTTAGGTCCATGATAATTTGTCAGAAAAAACAAAAATGATAAGGGCTGACAACCATTAAATTTTTAAAGAAGTATCTTTAAAATTAACATGAAATAATAAAAAGAATTAATGAGTTTTGATGAATTTTTATAATCTGTGGTCCTAGGTATTCCATATTCACTTCCATAAACAGCAACTTAAATTCTGCCTCTGGCTTATGATATAGATGGAAAGACAGAGTTTTTGTTGCTGCTGTTTGTTTGTTTTTCCCAACACTATTTCTAAAGTAGCTCAGATATAGTCATCTCAACGGACAGTACCTATTAATACCTAGTGACAGCAAAACAAAGTTGAGGTGAATTTATTGTTGAAGATAATCTTAAAGTTCAAGTTAAATAATAAAAGCAGAAAGCAATCATTATAATGAGATTAACTAATAAACAACAATCTATGTCAAGTGAACTCCCAATTTTAATTAAAATTTCAATTAAAATCTCTCGAAAACCAAGTGGATCTAAACAAATATATACACGTATAATGAATATTTAAAAGGACTCAATAATTTCAATCACTAGTTGTAATTTCTACTCTTAACAAGTTTTCCTTTAGAATGCCAAACTACATTTTTGAAAAAGGTTCCCTTAGCTTAAAGGGAAAGTTAGCAGATAATAACAGTTAAAACAAGTTCTAAAATAACGGTTAACATTAGGGGCTTTGGATGCATTAACTCTAATTCTCATAATGACGACATGAGGTAGTTCTATGATTACCTTCATTTTACAGAGGAACAAACTAAAGTGCAGCCAAATTAAGTAACTTGCTCACAGCCTTCCACTTCAACATGTCGCCCCCTTATTGTGGACTTGAGGCAGGTTTCCCCTCACACTGTTCTGTTTACATCCACAGCTCTCCTGGCTTCTTCCCAGTCTTTAGTAATGAATCCATTCTGCCCTGGTGACCCAGCAGTACAAGTGTTTGTTGATATTTTCATCTGCCTGTTGATATAGCTTTACTGTGTATCCCACTCAGGACTGATGCCTCAAATTTATAAGAGAGTATTAGAGCAGCTCTTATAACCTGCAGCCTGTCAGACCTAGATTGGGCTGCCAGTCCTGGACTGCCTATGGCCGTTAGCTGTGGGGTTTAGGCAAGTCGCTTAACCTTCTGGAACTTCAGTTTCATCATTTATAAAATGTAGATTAAAACAACTGCCTTGTAGATAAGTTGTAAGGATTAGGGATGAAATACGTGAAAGAGCTAAGCTAGAACAGAGTAGATACATCACCAGTGGAAGCCTCGAAAGACACAAGAGAGTAGAATCTGAGGCTGAGTGACATGTCTAGTGTCTGCCATGACATTTTTAATGGCCAGACTCTTAAATGCTTTTCTGGTAGTACTATAGTGACTAAATGGTAATTATCAGATTCTTAATAATATTAACAAATGAATTCGACAGGTTGTTCAAAATGATAAACAGCTTCTATTCTTATAAACTGCGGTTAAGTCCATAGTACCTACTGTTTTCATAAGGAGCAAAAACATTTTTTTGCATGATAGAGCTGTAGGGAACCTGAGGTATTTAGTCAACTCTCTTGTTTTGGGGATGAAAAATCTGAAGCCCAAAGAAGTTATGTGATTTGCCTAATGCCTTAATGTTCTTTAGAGGCACAGACTTGAAACCCAAGTCTCTAAGCTTCCATGCAAGCGTTCTTTTTATTATTGGTTTTTAAAAAATAACAGATTACATTAAAATTTGAAACTAATAAGTCCTATACATGATTGATAATGTTGGAGGCAAACACAACGATCTTACCTGTAAGAACCGTACATAACTTTCTGGCAATCAATTAACAAAAATTTCTGTTCCAGTTTTCCATGAAATTTTGCTCCCGTTTTTGAAAGATAATCTTGGCCTTTTACTGTCCGCACTCGAATATTCTAGAATTACGTGTAAGTATAAAGTAAAAATTAAGACAAGAAAGAGAATATTTTTAAAAGTAAACTATGTCAATATAAGGTCTTAGTATCAAAAAGATATACTTAAAATGATATTTTAAAACATTTCACTACAAAAAGAAAATAGTGAAAAGCAAATTTTAAAACATTACCTTCCCCCAAAACATACTGAGAAAACAGTCACTTAATATGTATTTTACATAACTTAAATAGGAGGTATCTTTTTACATTTACCCAGGATGGTTTCATAAATCATTTAGGGTCCTCCTGCAAGAGATCCTTTCAGGTTATAGTTACACAATGTCGAAATAACTAAAAATTAAAATGTACCCTCCTTTTAAAAAGTCTAATGTAACTGAAAACACTATTGTACATGGTTGTGATAAGTAACATCTGCTGAATGCAAGAATCACTCGAGTCAGTGGTTTTGAGGTTGTATTTGCCAAGTATAAGCATTAATGAGGACTGGCAGCAAAGTAAATTCAGAAGCTTAAGTGTTCCAGAAGCAAGAAAACCACCATATAAAATTGGCACAAAGTTGTGTGTTTTCAATTACATTCTGAAAAGTATAACGGGACAGTTAGGTGATCAATCATTATACTACTTTTTAAATATATATTTTACTTTTGGAGAAATATAGCTTAACATGACTTAAATTTAACTGAGATAAAAATGGTACACAAAATATTGAGAAAAAAAACATAGAATTCTTACCCTGAGACGTTGAACTTGACAACCCTGTTTCTCAGTCATGTTTAGGAAATGATTAAAGTTGGATTCATCGAGCAGAACATATATAGATATCCCTCGAGTTGATGCTTCCACTATTTCTTTAAAAATGTCCACATCTGTAAACATATCCATCACTAAAGCAATGACCTGTTAAAGAAAAGAATATCAAACAATTTTAGATA